AGAGAGAGAGAGAGAGAGAGAGGAGGCAGTCTTAAAATATCATCTCTTTATTTACTAGGCAAATTTCACGCCATTGTCAAGAAAACAAAGAAAGGCATATAAATGAAATCCATTTACATTTTTCTTTTTGAAATCTTAAAACAAGTCCAACACCACTTGTTCCAGCCAGGTAGCTTCTTTAGGACACGAAAAAAGAAGAATCAGTAAGACACAGTTTCTAAAAGAATCTTCCCACACCAAAAATCTTAGAAGAACATGAGACAGAGACTGTCTATAAAATATTCTTTATAAGTTTTCGTAAGAGTTTTACAGAACCTGCAACACAATATGGTCTTAGAAATGCCAAAGATTAGAGGTGTTACAAGAGAGAAATAAACACAAAAAAGAAGGAGAGATCAGGAGAAAAGATGTCTGACAGGAAAAAAAAAAGAGCAAACCACACTACCAAATCATCCACCAACCATCCATTAAACAGACTTCCCCATGCGGGGATTGAACTCGCGCCTTTCGATGTGTCTTGGTCTCTCACCTCTGTACATGCCAAAGAATCCTTCATTGCGAAATGTCTTGAGGGCACAGTCCGGCCTGTGGGGAAGACACAAACCAAACACTGTAACTGGTATCACATTTCACACTGTTCACACTGTTCACACTAGGGAAATAAAATCATTCTGCAAATTCTACTGCAACCAGGAAGAGCATGACTCTCAGACATCTAACAAACCACTGTGATGTAGCACGTCAAAGAAGTCAATAAAAATCAGTTCGAGTGAAGCATCACGTCAAATATGTCAATAAAAACCAACTACCTTGACGTATCATGCCAAATATTATGTTGTTAATAAAAACCAGCTCATTTGAAGTATCATGCCAAATTTTTCCATAGAAACCAGCTCAATTGAAGTATCGTATATATGTCAATAAAAACCAACAACAGTGACGCACCATGTCAAATAAAACCAGCTCAATAAGTATCACATCAAATATGTCAATAAAAACCAGCTCAAGTGAATTAAGTATCAAGTCAAATAACACACATCAATAAAAATCAGCTCAAGTGAAGTATTACATCAAATACGTCAATATAAACCAGCACAAGTCACGTATCACTTCAAAAATGCCAGTACACCCACTACAGTGAAATAACATCAAAATGACTGCAAAGAGTAAAGACTCCGCTATACGTCACTTTTAGACATGGCATATGGCAGAGTCTTACGCTGTGCAGTCGAAATGCATGACAGGATAAGTTCAGTTTGTTATCGCAGGTTGGACAACAGATCTATCCAGCCTGTAACATGTTGAAAAGTCTAATGTTCTGATAGCCTGAGTAAACACAAGCATCGACAAGATGGCAGTTATTTAGTGTTATGGTTTAAAAAAAAAGATGAGTGGTAGAAAGAAGAAGGGCCTACCAGTAATACCCTTCAACAGCCCAGTAACAAAAAGTACTGAGCATGGAAACCTAGTAAACTGTGAAGATAAAGTATTGATGGGTGGATGTGTTTTTAAAGCATTTATAGACTGTCATTCAAGGCATCTATCAATCAGTATTGAATGGGGATTTGAGTGCAGGTTGACTGCCAAACGGACTTCAAAACCCATGGCCCGTACCAATAAAAATTATATTAATTAAAACATATTTTCAGACAATAGCATACCCATCTAAGGACGTCACACACACA